GGATGCTAGGGGATGCTGCGGGGCGGGGGGGTTGCGGGGCACCGCTGGGCCTGTGTCATGTCGGGGCACTTCTGCACGCCCAGTCGCTCCCATGCTCTCCACCCCCTCGCAGGTGGTCACTGCGTCCCCCGCAGCAGCGCTGGCACGTGCCTCCCTGGCGTCGTGTCCCTGACACCCCATGGGATCGGGTGCCTCGGTCCAGGAGTGAGTGCGGCTAATGCTTAGGTGGCACGTGAATGGCCTCGGGAGCGATGCCACCAGCCCGGGTCACACAGCGCCAGGGCTGTAACCAGCACATGGGTACCCATCCCATGTGGTGGTTGGATGGGAGGGCTATGGGACATTTGTCCCTTGTGCTGGGGGCAGAGGCCATATCACCTGGGTGAACAGCACTGGCCCACCCTGCCGGCCTCTTCCCTGCATCTTGGCCCTGGGATCTCAGCTGGTCGCACAGGGCTGTCCTGCCCCGGTCTATCAGGCCCCCTGTGCTACTACCACAGGGGTGGTGGGCACTGGGTGAGGGACTTTTCCCAAAAGTACAGGGAGCCCCAGCGTAGGTGATGGGACTTTCTGGGGTGTGCGATGGAACAAACGTGACCCATACCATGCGGGTCCTTCCGAGAGCTTCACCCCTGTGGTATCCCCTGTCCTCCTTCATGACAAAGCCGAATGCTGGCCCTGGTGCAGGGAACTCATGCTCCAAGTTTTTCCCCTGGACACCTTGTGAAGCCCTGGCTGCCTCCCATGGGTCGCCCTGGAGGGCAGATGCCCCTCCAGCCCAGAGCAGCTTGGGTGGGAGGTGCTGCTTGTGGTCCTCACAGCCAGAGCTGCCCTGGGAGGGGAGGTCTCAGGCCCTTTTTCTGGCCCCAAATATGTCCTGCGGCCACCTGGGGGACACTGTGTCCCTCATCAGTGCAGTGGCAGGGTGAGGTTGAGCAGTTGCATGTGGGAGCGCGTGGCCCATGTGGGGCCCCGCCAGCCATGCCTGGGATGGAGAGCTGTGAGGGGGACAGGGCGGGGGTGTGAGGCCACATTCCACTGGGGGAGGGCAGTGCCGTTTGTGCCTCTCTTGGCATATTGCCCCTCGCAAGAGGGCATGGAGGGCTGGGATGGGGACTGGGTGCTTGGGGGAGACCTGTGCTGGGAAGTGGCTGGGCGAGGGGTCTGCGGAGGCTGATGCTCTTGGTGGGCGGCCCTTAGGGTAGGCAGCACTGCCCCTTGGTTCCCCCGCAGCTGTCCTGCTCTTTGCCCCAGCGACTCTACTGGCATCATCCTTTTTGCAGCCCAGCTGTTAGGTGGCCAGCTCGGGCGGGAGAGGGGTTTTCTTACCGGTGTCAGGGCCTATTTTTAACCTGAGCTGTTTATGGCCACTGGTGGCGGCGATTGAACAGCTCGGTGCTGCCCACTGCAGTAGCTGCCAGGCAGGAGGGCTCCTCACTGGCTGGGGGGCCAAGAGGCTGAGACCCCTCTGGAGCTGAGCTGAGCGGGATGCATATCATGAACCCCTTGTTACGCTGACTGAGGTGCAGGGGTGACTCCCCAGTGAAACGCTCAATGGAGCTGATCTGCCCAAAATGCCCTGCCAACGCACCGGCCGCTTTTCCAGACTTCTTTTAGCTCCGGATGCTGGCCAGCCAGGGGCCGGGGGAAGCACGGCAGAGCCCAGCGGCCATCTGGTGACACCCTGCACAGCTGCGGGCTGGTGGAGAGCCCCAACGCCAGGGTGGGGGGCTCTGCGGTAGAGCAGCCCCCCAGAGCCCGGGGAGTACAGCAGCGTGACAGGGAAGAGGCCCTGCAGGAGCAGCCGCAGCTGCACTGAACTGGAACAGGAGGCGGCTCTCAGCAGGGATGGGGGTACCGGGCAGGGGGACTCGGTCCCAGTAGCGGGAGCTCACTGGAGCGTGGACTGGGCTCATGCACTTGCTTTTCTTTTCGCTGCTTTGTAAAGCTGGGAGGTGCCACAGCGTGAGCACTGGCCCCTGGCAGGCAGGTAGCGCTTGTATCCCCCCATTCCCATGGCTGGTCCCTGGGGCTGGCCCCAGGTGTGGGCCAGGAGCAGGGATGCAGGGAGGTGGGTGGCTGCAGTAACCCCTGTTGTCTCTCCCCCAGGTACGCCATGGCGCTCTCCAACAACCACATCTGCCCCGTCCACAACTGGTAAGGTCTGGGGAGGGGCGGCAGGGGCCCTTCCCCACGGACCAGCTCAGTTAAAGACTCTGTAATGCCAGGTCCATCTCCAGGCCTGTCCCACTTGAACCGTGCTATGCTGTGTCCGACTACTGCATGGCCTGAGCCCACCCCTGCACCATCACCATGCTGAAGGGGGGGTCGGGGGTCAGGTTGGTCCTGGGAGGGGGCTGGGGATGACGGGAGAGGTGGGAGCATTAAAGGGGGCACAGAGCCACCTTCTTCCCCAGCAGACATGGTGGTGAGAGTGACGGGGCGCAGTCACCCCAGGGTGTGTGTCTCCTGTCGGGTCTGCAAGTGTCTTCTGGGAGCAGAGCTGCTTGGGGACTAGCTGCTGGCAAGGCTGGGCCCCACATTCACGAAGTGGTGAGGATGCCAGGGCCGAGCAGGGCTATCGAAAGCTGCCTTCCCTCCCCCGCCCAGGCCTGCCTGTGGTTACGGCTGCTCCGGTGAACGGTCCAGCCCTGCTGCAAACCAGGCGGGGAGAAGGAGGCTATTGAAAGAACACAGCATGGAGAAAGTATGAAAATAAGTGGTCAGGGAATTACAGAGGGCCATGTGTCTCCATGGAAAAGGTTGAGGCTTGCTTGCTTGAGGCTAAATCTGGCAGTGCCAGGGGGACAGGACAGCCCCGCGCTGCCCAGCCACCCCACGGACAGAGCTGCCTTCAGCACCCCGGGATGGGGGATGAGGGGCAGGAAAGGCGAGGGCTCTCTTTCCAACTTCTGCAGGGTTTTTGGCTTGTTGTGTCTCCTTAAAAATCTGCCCAGAAAAATCCATGTTAGTTTAATTCTTGCTGGAGTGTTTGAAGGAGAAGGGGAAGAAAAAAACCCGCTGCCATTTCCTGCCTGATGGCTGATTCTGCCCTGGGAAGAATGTGTGTGTTGGGTTGTCTCCGATGCACAGCCAGCCCTTAATGATGAATAATGCTTCCCGGCCTCAGGCTGCTCGCTTTAAACAAAATAATAATAATACAGTCCCTCCCAAACCAAACACGGCCCCAAGAGCAGCCCTTGAGGAGGCTGTGGGGCTCCACGCCTTGGGGTTTTGTGGTTGGAAAACAAAGCCACCAGTAAAGGAGGAAACTGAAAAAATACCAGAGCCCAGCCCAGCCCTTTCCAAAAAGGCAAAAAGGCCTTTTTAACCATGCACTTGCTGAGCGGCTGGAGGCAGCTGATTGTCAGCCTGGGCCAGGGGCAGGGTGGCATCGGCCTCCCCACAGCTCCCGTCCCCACCGTGGGGCTGTGCCTGAGGGGGCCCTCTGGGGCACAGGGCTTTGGGGTCCCTGCCTGCAGGGTAGAGAGGGAGTCCTCCTCAGTTGTGCCAGGCAGAGGTGCTGGGTGCCTGGGTGATGCTGCAGGAAAGGGGCATCCAAAAACCCACTGCAACTGTGTGCCAGCTCCTAGGAGAGCCGGAAGGGCGAGAGGGCACGTACCCCCACGGCGGGGGGAGGAATTTGGTTATGGTTGCAGGCAGCAGCTGTGGTACAGGAAAGTGCCTCAGGCCGATAAGAGCTCTGGGTCCCCGGGCCCCGGGGCTCAGGGTGTCTGTGGCTGCAGGATGAATTTCCAGGGCTCTGTAGTGGTTGTGGGCAGCAGAGCCCTGCCCCGGCCCGGGGGTGCTGGGGGCTGCTACCAGGACCCCGGGGGAATGCCCTGCAGGTGTGCCAGGCTCCCCAGGGCAGCCGGGGGCTTGCTCCTGTCCTGTCCCACCTGAGGCAGCTCCTCCCAGCTCCTCATGCAGCTCCTGCCCTCCCAGGCAGGGTGGCACGGCCCTGGGGTGCTTGTGGCTGTGGGGGCCATTTCCCGCTCAGCTTGGCATTCCCACCCATCCTGTGCAGGCCCGTAGCTGTCAGTGGCTGCGTGCCCAGCTCCGCCTGTGCTCCCGCCCCGGGGATGTGTGTGACAGGGCTGGCAGGCGGGTGCTCCCACTCCCGCCTGGGGTGTGGGGCTGCAAGAACCCCCTGAGCCCAGCACCCCGGCCCATGCACCCAGGGAGTGCGTGCAGCCCCCCGCCCCGCCACGGCCTCTCCCTTGCAGGCGGGGACTCCAGGTGGGCAGCAGAGCCAGCAGGCAGGGGACAGGCTGTGGAAACCCAGGCTTGATGCTCCCGAAGACCCTGTTGGGTGGTGGGTCGCTCCCTGGAGGGGCTTGTCCCCAGGGTGGGGGCACATCCCTGGGGTCGGGCTGTGCTCGCTGGGGAGCAACTCTGCTACCGTTGCAGGGCCTGCAGGCAGGAGGCAGGAGGGTCCTGGGCAGCAGCTCGGCTCTCCTAGCCTGTCCCTTTGCTCCCGGCAGGAATTACAACCAGTCGTGTGGCGGGGATGGCCCCGGCTCCTGCTGCACGCTGGACCACATCCCCCTTGTCAGGTGAGCAGCCTTGGGGTGGGAGCACTGGGCCAGCTGGGGGTGAGAGCCGTTCCGAGAGCCCCCCTGGGGCAACTCAGGAGCGTGTCCTGGGGAGGGGGGCAAGCACTGCACCCCAGTGCCCCCCCAGCTGAGGGCTCCCTGGGCCTTGCCTTGTCCCTGCAGCAAGTGTGGCACCCTGCCTCCTGCGAGCTGCTTCTTCAGCCTCATCTGCAGCCTGGGCTCCTTCATGGGTAAGTGCCCGCTGCCGGGAGAGCAGGGCCGGCAGTGAGGCTGGGTGGGGGGGCTGCAGGCGTTGGCGGCATACGACAGGGCTGTGTTTCCCTCCTGCAGTCATCCTGGTGGGGCTGCTGCGCTACGCCCACCTCCTGGAGCGTCTCGGGCCATCTCTCCTCAACACCTTGGGGCTGGCCACCGGCTGGGTCTGCGCCGCTGGCCTCACCATGGTCGGCAGCTTCCAGGTAAGGCATCTCCTTGGGGGGTCCCTGGGGGCAGGGTGGGTGGGAGAGGGCCCTGACTGGAGCAGGACAGTGGCAGCGCTCGGCAGTGTAGGATTTGAGGTGGTTGTTTTGGTCCAGCCCCCTGATCCATGCACTCCTTTACTTCTGCCAGGCACCATGCTTCCCCAGGCGCTGGGACTCCTTTGCTCATTCACTCATAGTTTCAGGTCCAGAATAAGCTGCTGGGTTTGGTTTAGCCCTTATCTGACACCCTCTGTACAGTCTGTCCCCTCTGTGGACATGTGACCCCGCGGGGCAGGGACGTGCCAGCAGGGCAGAGGAGACCCAGCCAAGCTGCCGATGCTGCCACTGCCCGGCTGTCCTACTGCGGATGTTTGCTGCTCGGGGGGTGGTGCCAGGAAACTGTCTGGGCAGAGCCTGCGCTAGCAGGGTCCGGAGCAGTCCAGGGCTTGGTGGCAGATGATGGTGCTCAGCCCCACACTTGCACTGCCAGGCACTGGCCTCCCGGCAGCTGCCTGCCCTCTGCCTGTGGCGGCCGGTCCCTTCCGCTTGGCAGGAGGCTGCTGCCGGCACCGCCACCCCGGGAGAAGTTTCGCTGGCCCTGATCTCCCTTGTGTCCCAGCCGTGGCTCAGCAGCTCTGCTGAAGGCAGGGCTGTGACCCCCAGGAGGGGGTGGAGGCAGCCCCAGATGCTGCTCAGGGCAGAGGGCAGCCCCTGCCCCATGCACCCGGGCACAGCAGGGCTGTTGTCCCGAGGGGCTCAGGAGCTACCACCCCATGGGTGAAAGAAACAGAAACGCTTTGAGATCCTAGCAGCAGACAATGGGTCCAGATCTGCTCTTCAGCCAGGAGTTGGGCACAGGGCAAGCTGCCTAGCTCCTGGCATCGCTTGCACCCCTGCCTGGGCACGTGCCCACCCCCTGGAGCAGACCCCTGTGTCCCGGGGTGCCGGCACTGCTGGTCTCTCCCCTGCAGGTGGATCACGCCAAGGTGCTGCACTACATTGGGGCAGGGGTGGCCTTTCCCACCAGCATGCTGTTCCTGCTCCTGCAGTCCATCCTCACCTACCGCATGGCCAAAACCCGTGGGCAGTACTGGACCGGCCACTTACGCAGCATCCTCACTGCTGTGGCCTTCCTCACCCTCGTCTTCAGTATCCTTCTGAAGGGTGTGGGGAGGAGATCTGGGATGGGCTGGTGAAAGGCGGTCCTCGCAGGGGGTATGCGCCCCACGTCCTCCATCCTTTGGTCTGGCAGTGAGGCACGGTGCCAGGAGAGGGGCTGGGCAGCGGGTTGAGAGCGGGCAGCTCGCTGCCCTTGTAGGCTGGAGGAGCAGCAGTATTGGGGCCATGCAGGGGCCGAGCAGGGGAAAGGATGCTGGTGGGCATTTCTTGAGGTGCTGGGATGCCCCAAACCAGCCCTGCCCTGGCTGCTACAGCCCAGCCACCGCTGCAGGCTCCAGCCCCACACCTTGCAGAGTGGAAGGTTAATTGTTGTTTTTTTAATGAGACAAAGGTATGTTGAGCCCTTGGCAATGCAAAATCCATCCGAGTTACTTGTATGGCTGAAGCTGAGTACAAAAGCACTCTGAGCAGCTGCCAGGTGGACGCATGGCAGCACCTCTGCCATCGGGGGCTCACCAGCACCCGCCGGCCAACCTGCCCATGGGACAAGGGAGGGCTCAGTGAGCAGGTGCTGGGCTCTGCAAACACTGCACCAGGGAGGGAGGGCACGGCAGCAGGCAGAGTGGGGCTGGAAGAATGGTCCCGAGTGTGTGGCCAGGGAGCCAAGGGTTTATTTGAGACTGAGGTTAGGGATAAATTGGGAAACAAGGTGGTGGTTATTGGGCAGGAAGGGGAAAAAGCATGTGATGTCCACAGGTCCCAGAGAGGCTGGCTGGGGTCTGGCTGGGGCAAGCAGTGCAGGAGGAGCCTGGGCCGTGCTGGTGGACCTGGGACGTGCCAGAAGGTCCTGCTCTGTCACCACAGCAGGCAGGCATTCCCTGCCGGGAAGCAGGCAGGGAGCTGGGAAGGGCAGGAGCGCCACGGTGCCACACCAGCTGGGAGGGACAGGCAGGGCATGTATGGACAAGGGAGTCTGCCATGGCCATGCTGCTCTGTAAGCACAGGGGACTGGAAGTGGGAAAGCAGCGAGCTGTGGTGAGGATGGTGTGGGGAAAGGGTTGGGACCTCTCCTGGTGGGATGGGGGGAGTGAGCAGAGGGCTCTACCCTGCGCAGGTCAGGTCCCTGCCCCTCTAGCTCTCCCAGATCTTAGCCTCGCTGGCAGAAGGCAGGGTACTGCCAGAGGCTTCACCTGGAGGCCTGCGGGATGTACCTGCCTCCTCCCCTCACCCGTGGTGGCTCTGGCAGTAGGTTTCCCTAGAGATCCCCAGTGGGCCTAAGAGAAGCATAAAGAAGCTCTGGCAGCGGTAGGACCTGGAGGAGAGGGAGCAGGCCATCTCTCTGGGGTGAGCCAGACGGCAGCGCAGGGGGACAGGAGGTGCTGCGGGGCTGGGATGCAGCGGCCCAAACGCCCTTACCGAGGGGATGGAGGACTGATGAGTTTTATCAACTGTGACTGCATCCTGTGGGAGGATGGGGAGCATCAGCCTGGTTTGAGGAAGAGGAGAGGGGTGTGGGCAGGGTGAGGCATCTGGGCACCTGGCTTGCCCTGAGGGCTGCAGCCTGAGTTCCCCCTGCTCTGGCCTCTTCAGAAAATCTGCACCTGGCGTCAGTCCCGTGATTTACTGAGGCTGGTTTGGGCACGCGTGCCACCACCTCACCTGTGCCAGGGCCCTCCTGGTGCTGGGAGAAGCATGTGAGGTTTCTTGGTTTTAGGGGTGGTGGTGTGTTTCCTGTGGAGGGTGTCTGCTCATGGCCGCCCCGGTGTGCAGTGGCAGTGGGATGTGGTCCTCCATGGGGTGGTTGGTGTCCAGCTGTGCTTTCCTTGACGGGGATGCCCTCAGGCGGTGTGTTCTTCATCCAGGAGAGCTTCGTGCTGCAGCATGTGGCTGCCCTGTGCGAGTGGATGTTCATTATCGATGTCCTGGTCTTCTACGGCACCTTCACCTTTGAGTTTGGGGCCATCTCCACAGACACCTTCCTGGTCCTGCTGAAAGCCAGCCGGGCTCCCAAAAGTTACAAAGGCGAAAGCGGCGTGTCCAGCACAGCCCACGTCCACAGCCACGTGGAGGGCCTGGCTATGGCCTGACCCCCGCAGGAGGCAGAGTCACAGTGGAGACCCCTAAATAGGGCTCTGCCAGTGACTCCTCCGCCTTGAATGTCTCCGAGACCCTGGCTGCCTCGGGGTGCGTGTGTGCATGTGTGTGCACGCGTGGGCGTGCGGTGCCCTCCCCTCCTGGTGGGAGCTGTGGCCGGCGCTCCTCTGGCAGCTGGTGTCCCCTGCAGGAGCTGCCCCCTCCCTGCCCTCAGGGTTTGGGGTCACTGCTGTGGTGCCAGCCCGGTGCTGCTATCGGCAGAGCCAGGATCTGCCCCTGCGCCTCTGGGGTTGCCCCGTCTGAGTCGGGGGCTGTCAGAGGCAATCATACAGAGGCCCCCTTCTGTAAGGGACGTGGGGGAACAGGGAGCTCACCCTCCCCTCATCACGTAAGCCTGGTGTGCTGGGGAGGGGTGGATCACCGTTCCTCCCTCCTCCACAGCCACTGGGGTAGGGTTCAGCAGACCAAGCCTTCCAGCCGGCCTCTGTGACTGTCAGAGGAGCCAAAAACCCAGAGTGCCTTTTCCCTTCCTCGGGAGGTGATGGCAGTGTCAGTCTGTCTGCAACCCCAGTGAGGATGGCGGGGGGGCTGTCTCTTCCTGCCTGCCTGCCTGGGTGGGGGTAGTGCCTTGATGACACCAGCAGCCCCAGTTGGACCGCACTGGCCTTCCCAGCCAGGGCTCTTGCTGCTTGGGGCCTTCCATGACTCCAGCCGATGACTTTCCCACATTTTTTCAGCTTGGAGGAGAATTGCTGAGGCAGGTTTCACCTCCTGCGCTATGGCATTCCCATGCTCCCTGGCAGTCAGCTAGGTTAGGAAATGGGTCTCCTCATTTACTGTCACACTGGGGATGTCCTGCAAGCACAGTGCTTGCAGAGCAGTGGATTTCCCCTCCATAGGGCAGCCAACCTAAGCTGTCATGCCGGGGAGCTGGCACACCCCAGTCCCGGTCTCCCAGCGCAGGGGTGGGCTGCTGCCAGCCCTCCCACCGAGGGAGTGCAGGCACAGAAAGGGGAAGCACTTCTGTAGGAACAGAGGAAGGTTGCACCCCGTTCTTCTGGGACTCCGAAATCCGTCCGCTGGTGCCCTCCCCAGCGGTGAGCCTGGCCAGCGCCTGCCTGGTGAGAGCCTGTCCTTCTCGGCCCCATCCTGGGGCATCCTGGGCAGGGGGCTGGGGTGGAGGGGTGAGGTGTAGAGGGAGATGAATGCGTGTGTGTACACACACACACACACACACATTTGCTGCTGCTGCTGTGTACATTGATCAGGTTGGGCTTCCTGATTCACCCACCTTTTCAAAATCGGCCTATAAATCCACCAGTATATGTAGTTCAAAGAGGAGCATTTCTGACTTTAATATATGTTTAAATATATATATATATATCAAGAGAGAACAGTGAATTTACAATAATAAAAGTGAAAATCAGCCAAGGGCAAGGCAGTCCGTCCTTCCCCACTGCGCAGGACTAGGGTAGCGACCAGCTTTGGGGTGAGGGTCCAAAGGGACAAGGGACGAAGGGTGCTGCGGCTCTTGGGGGACCGCCGTGAGCCCGGGGCTCGGTTCCCTGTGCGGGGTGTCAGGCAGGTGGAAGACAAGCGGTTTCACCCGGGGTGCAGCGGCCTGGAGTCGCACGTCCCGTCCCGTCGGGGGGTCCCCCGGCCCCCCTTACCGCTGTCCCCGCCGGGGCGGAGCTGGGCCCGGGAAGCCCCGGGAGGCGGAGCCGGGCCGGGACTTTCCCGGGGCCGCGGCCGGGGCGAGGCGGCCGCGCTGGGGATGGGGCTGAAGGTAAGCGGCCGGGGCGGCGC